ATTGTATCCACTGATCCCACAAATCACTGTCTCGATATAAATCCCCCTTCCCACACTACACTTGATCTCTTGATAGTGAATGACTCCAATGCCATCCAGAACTTTGGAAAATCCGATACTCCCTTTATTGCTGGCCATGATTTTATCTCGCTCACCTATCGTTTCAACACGAACAAGCACGTCACCAGAGTTATTATGTCCCGCGATTTAAATCAGATAGACGAAGCGGCCTTAAATGAGACCCTCAGCAGTCTTCTCTCATGTTTGATCGACAAATCTCCAGCACGATTGAGGCGCTCTTTGGATCCGCCGATGGAAACTGACCTGTATTCCCTTGACAACTCGGTGCACTCTCTTACTGAAGCCCTTATAGTTTTTCGACGCAGTAGCCCCTCTCAGGTGCATCAAGTTGTTTTCTAGGCGTAAACCTTGGGTGACTCCGAGCATTCTCGCTCTCATAAAAAGGCGTGACGCTGCCTATAAACTGGCATACTCCTCCCGCTCGGTCAGTGACGTCGATGGGTATCGAAGACTTCGAAATGACGTCTCAAATGCCCTCGACTCAGCAAAAAGTTCTTGCATCTCAAGCAGGCTGTCCTCCGCAAGTACTAGTAAGGCCAGATGGAACGAGTTACAAAACTTGGGTGTCACTAAGCGCGCTCTTCCATCCCCGTTCCAATCCCCCCCCCCCGCACTAAACACCCACTTTACCAACATAGTTAACTCGTCTCCTCCCATGACATGTGACTTTTTTGACGCTCTTTTAACTAGTCCCCCAAATGTTCCTCACGCCCACTCCCCATTCGAATTTCGTGAGGTTACTAGCCTGGAGGTTATGGATGCACTAAACTCGTTCTCATCCAGAAAATTCGGTCCCGATGATTCGTCTGTCAAGATGCTTAAACTCGTCTCTTCCACTTGTCTCTCGTCTCTCACGCATCTTGTCAAAAATCATTTTTGTGCGGCATTTTACCGACCTCCTGGAAACGGTTTGTTATCACCCCCTTTGTCAAAGTATCTTCGTCCGCTCTTTTATCGGAGATCAGACCGATAGCAAGGTTATCCAAGGTATCAAAGGTGCTTGAGAGGCTTGTTCATTCACAACTTTCATCTTATCTAGACCTCTGCAAACTGCGTGATCCACGGCAGGCCGGTTTCGTGAGGTTTCACAGCACTCAGACTGCACTCTTGGGTATCCTTGATGACATCTGCAGGACCACTGAGGAGGGTAAAATCACAATCCTCGTCCTGCTGGATTTTTCCAAGGCTTTTGACGTTATCCCCCATGGTCGTCTGATGGTCAAGCTCAGGGACCTATGTTTGTCTGATACTGTTTTGAAATGGTTCTTTAGCTATCTGACTGACAGGTTTCAGGCTGTTGTGGGGGAGAACGGCAGGGTATCGGACTGGCTCAGGGTTGCTACTGGAGTGCCGCAGGGTAGTATTCTGGGACCATTGCTATTTGCAATCTATATCTCGGACCTGCCCTCTGTCCTCTCCTTAATGAATTATATGCTTTATGCCGACGACACGCAGGTCTACCTTCACTGTCATCCCGGCAGCCTTGCGGAGGCTTTGGAGAGGGTGCAGCTTGATGTGTAGGCTATAGCGGATTGGGCCCTAAGAAACGGTATCTCTCTCAACCTCACCAAGATTAAGTTCATGATACTAGGCAACGAACAGTAGATTAGGGCTATTAACTTGAACGACATCGCGAAGATCACCATTAACGAGGTTCCACTCAACTTTGTTATTAGTGCTCGTAACCTGGGCGTGATACTGACTCCCACGCTAAATTGGTCCGAACATGTCAGAAGCGTGACGAGAAGGGCATACGGCTCTCTGGCTTCACTCCACTTCCACAGAAAATCTCTCTCGACTACCCTTAGAAAAGTTCTTGTCGAGCAGTTCATTTTCCCACGTTTCGACTACCTCTCAGTGGTCTGTATTTAGTTCGATGGAGAGCGCTCATCTAAGCTTCAAATTGCCCAAAATGCCTGCGTACGCTTCGTAATAGGATGGATCCCATATATATCTACTCTATCCCTAAACAGCCACATCATCAACCATAGATTAACCCTAGGCAGGCTATCCCTTACCTCGAATAGGTATAGAGAACTCGCCGTTCTGGCCTACTCTGTTGTGTCCAGAAAATCGCCAAGCTATCTAGCTAAAAACCTGTCTGTCCTGCTTGATAGTGTCATTTATCCGGCGCTCGGGTTGCCATCCACCGTTGGCGTTTGAATACAAGGCCCCTAAAACTGAGGCCTGGAACCATTCTTTTGCGATTCTTGCACAGAGGATACTCAACTCATTAAGTGTAACCCTGTTCTCCACCGATCGGATCTGTGACTTCAAGGATTGGACACGTCATCTGTTTTTAAATTGTGAGGCTAGAGCATAGATTGAGAGGGCGATTCACGAAAAACTAATGCCAGTGATGGCACTGTTCGATTACACTCGCATACCAAACAATGTCAATCCAGTCGCGTCCTCCCAAAATTATCCATCCTCCCACAAATACCCCTCTATCGACCTTTGGTTCATGAAATAGCTAATTAAACTTGGTTGTTTTTTAGCCAAATGCACGTCTCTCCACTTTTACACCTTTCTCCTTTCAGTCCGTTTTTCTGTAAAATAGTGCCATCGCAGTTTCATTACTTTTATTATTTCTATTACAATATTTTTTACTACTTTTATTATTTTTATTGTTCTTATTATTTTTATTACTTTTATTATTTTCATTATTTTTCATCTTTTATTATTGTTATTTTTGTTGTTTTATCTGTTATTTTAATTATATTGTTCTTTATATATTTTTATTTTACTATATTTTACATATTTTATTCTATTTTTCATTTTATACACATATTCTGAGTCATCTTACTGTTATTGCCATTGTAAACTTGCTGCTCACCGTACATACAATTCACGTATTTCATCTAAATTCATCTTCTTTAAGGGGACCTTTCAATGTGACGGGTTGAAAAAATCGATTTTTTTTTGTTTGCATTTTTCGATAGTATTTACCTCCAGAATTGATGTCCCACAGTCGGTTTGGTCGAATTCTACCATATTGACCGATTTTACTGCTTCAAAAGTGAGAGCGTACCGCGCTCGCTACCTGCGCGCGTTTTTTTCAAAACCACTTTTTTGTAACTAGCGTGCACGATAACTCAAGAACGGTTGATCGTATCGACTTGAATCTGTTTGGAAAATGTTCAGAATTATAAAATGCAGGGAATGAACATCTAACTAAATGTTTGCTTGAACCTAACCAAAGTTACACACGATTAATCGTACAAAAAAAAGACCTTTTTTCCACTTTTGCGAGAAACGCCGCCATTTTGTTATAATTATTTTCTATAAAATAATTATTCAGAGTTTCATTACTTTCAATTTACATAACAATTTAAGAAACTGACCAGAACAGCCAGAATCATGCACGCCAACGAACAACTTTTTTTTCGATGTTGCCTAATTATTTTATAAATAAATAAATAAACATTTTATCAAACTAAAAAAATTTTTTTTTGTTTTTTCTAATCATACCTTTAAGGGAAAAAAAGGTTTATTTGATTATATGCAGTAGTTGCTGAAAAAAAAATTCTTGAAAAATCGATTTTTTTTGAGCTGGCACATTGATAGGTCCCCTTAAATAGTTAAATGCGTTAATATTTATTCTTGCATGTCTTCTTTTGTCATTTTTTTATTTTGTTATTGCAATGGCTCGGTCGGTAGGGCGACGGACTCGCACCCGGTAGTCCCGGGTTCGATTCCCAGTCCCTGCTGATTGATACAAGCATCACTGAAAAAAGTTTCATGTGCTTTGTTCTCAAACACATTGCAAGCCTCCGTCGCTGATAAGGACTGATGGAGCATAAATAGAGCGACGTTAAATAAAAAAAAAAAAATTTTGTTATTGTTTGATTTGTACATTTTCTAAGCTTCCAGACGAGGTTCCACTTCATTGGCGCAATAAACAAACTAATCTAATCTAATCTCTCTATCTCGTTTTTTTTATTACGACCAACAAGTACGCGTTTTGTTAATCATTTGCGTGCGCTCAAGTCTCTCGGATAAGAATTTATATTCTTTGGTAGTTCTCTTTGTCGGCTAGTTAAATGAATAAAACAATATCTCTTTTATATCGAACTGAGTTACACTTTATATTAATCATATTAGCGTCTTAGTTTATAAGATAGTGTTTTCATGAGATTTTTCCAGTTTTTATTATTTGATTCGACCTTCTTGGCCGCTTATACGATATATCTCGAGCAGCTTGTTGTAGTCTCTTTTTAAAAACTATTGCAATAACTTCTGTTAATTTATCGTTTCTGTAGTAAGCTGACTTCATGTGATAAGTTGATGGTCTGCGCAGCATCGAAATATCACATGCTTCTGTTATGAGTTGTACGGCAATCTCTGCTGTGTCCTCTTCTATCCAACGCGTGCCAAAGCTTATTACCGTGCTACTCTTCTGAAAGAAGACATTATGCGGCATTTTTGTGAATGATAACCCTACTAGCATCTGTTTTTTTTTTTATAATCTGATTTCTTGCAATATTTACGGACACGTAGTGATGATTGCTATGAAGCTCCTGTTCAAGAACATATTACATGGCAATGTTTTTCATCGCTGTCGATGACGTGAATGGTAACTTTGAAACTGATCTATAATCAAGAAGCGTTTCTCTCCATATGTGACCGGCGCATGTGTGAAATAAGTTATATCGTTTTATTTATCATGCTAGTCGTTTAGATATGAATTTCGTTTTCTTAATATATATAAAAAAATACCAAAAAATATTAAATAAAAAGATATATATTATTAGATTTATTAAAATGTTAAACTAATCTTTTACAACTTAAAATTTTTTATCAATACGTTCCCTTGGAGATTCAATACGCGTCAATGACACTTTTATTGAATATACAGAATTGACTATCCACCGTGTCAGCTAATAAAATATATATACGTAAATAATAATGGAACTTACCTATGTAATAATCTCCACAAACAGCTGTGATACGAAAATGATTAATGCCGGTTCTTCCTAAGTAAGATAGTACATAACTTCCAGGTTTTCTGTCACTTTCTCTCACTAAATAACTACCCATTTTATCTGCATCCCATAGTCGTTCTTCAGCAGTAAATCTGTCTAACCTTCCATGGTACCACCTAAAATAATATGTAATAAATATGAATAACTCGAATATTGAAAGATTTTTTCAAAATACAAAACGTTCTGGTCAATTTTGTTTTGGAATATATGGGGTTCAACTATATATCCTAGTATAGACAAATTAAGACAAATTAGCAACAGGACTTTAACTTATTGAAAGAAATAAGAAAGATGCTACTATTTGTACTGTCCATAAACTTACTCAGAGGGTCAGAGAGTATATCTTCTTTTGATAAATTTCTATGAAAAAAATCACATGGCTAGTTCTAAAGAATGCAGTGTACGAAAACTTAATCATCAAACTTTATTTCGATATTTCCAACACTAAAAGATCAAAACAAATAATAAGTACAGAAAATACCGTCAGAGCAAACATTACGTATAAAAGAGTAGCAAACGACAATGTTTATATAATACTAAAAGAATAAAAAAAACACAGATCCAGCCGACAATAGTAGACAATAACAATCATTTAGAAAACATGTTGACTCGGTTGATAAATAGAATGGATCAGATGATGAATCTGCTTACTATATTCACAAAAAAAGATTAAATGACTCAGAAATCAAAATAGTAATTTGTAATGCTAGTGGAGGGAATCAAAATCAATAAATCCAAATCCAAAAAGGGAAAACTGTGACAATAATATTAATGAGCGAACCTATTGGTCCTCCGATATTAATAAACTACCTGTTTCGATATACTTCCTAGTTATTAAAAGGTTATAATCTAATCGTTTAACAGTCAAATCATGCGTTGATTTGGCTGTTAAACGTTCAATTTTGCGTTGTTTAATTATATATTATTACCTAATTATAATAAATTTCGCTTCAATAATTGAAACTAACACAAAAAACAGCTTCGTGTATGATAAAATAATAAATTTGATCCTTACAGAGAAATACTAAACCATAAACTAACCTGTAATATACCGCTTGAAACTTAACAAAACAGAGACAATTCCAAAGAAAATTTTACTAATAACATCTATAGAGCAATCACCATTACAATTCCTAAATATGTGGAAAATTAAAATACTAAAAATTTTATCTCAAAAACAGTCTTAGACAATATAGAAAAGAAAAAAAATTAAGAAAAATACAATAATAAAATAAGTTACAATCGGATAAAAGAATAATTAGTCAATCGAAGGACTTGAAAAAAATATATACGATGAAAATAATGCGGGAAGAAATAACTACCTAGAAAACTTAACTGTTACTAGAGCATCTGATTATTCAATTTGGGAAGTAATTAACAAAATTAATCAACCCTGAAAGTTTTTTTCTTCCATTTTAAAAAATAACATGACGTGAGCAAAAACAAATTTCGATAGAGCTACCACTTTTACTCAACACCATGATAGCGTATTTAACTCAACGAACTATAACAAACGGAGAAAAACTCACGCTGGAAAATCATGTAATTAAACATTAGCAACAACTTTTCATTTTTGAATTTAAAAGTAAAAGAAATAAAGTAAAGTCATTTCAAGATCAACCTTACTTTTTGAATGGGAAACCTCTTTTTTCGACGCAGGTTTTAATTCATGACTTTGGGGGTGGTGTCGGAGATTTTTCAGACCCTATAAATATCTTATCATCTGGACGTACAATTTCACGTAGAATTGAAACCTGCGACGAAAAATGAGGAGTCCCATATAAAAAGTAAGATTGACCTCGAAATGACTTTGGGGGTGAGGTGGGGGTTATTTGGACCCCACACATATTACATGACTTGAACGAAAAATTTCCCGCTCTATCCGAATCCGGGATATAAAATAGGGGTCTCATTTAAAAAAACAAAGTTGACCTTTAAATAATCTTGAAACTCAAGTTCAAGGTCAAATTGGAGATCGCCATCGGCTGTCCCCCTCCAAACCCTAAAATCCGAACTATTTTTCGCTATCATGCTTCCGGAACGAAATAATTAGTCACCTCGATTAAAATGGTTCACCCTGTATAATAACCCATTTTTAAGTCTATTTTCAAAATGTCGCTTGCACAAGCCACTTTCACCAATATAATTGTTCGAAGACTCATTTTGTTTCTGAAGACAACAAGTAAAAAGCTACATACTAGAAAATTTGTAAATTAATACTGTAACGAGTTACGGCATCAAGTGTGCACAAATACTGAAAATCCATGAAAAACCACTCTATTTTTTCATATAGTATGGTCTAATTCAATTTGAAATAGGTATGGCAAAAAAGTTTAAGTAACATTTGTGGGGCATCCTACATAAAAGACAATGAGTTTTCAAACAATAATTTTGTTCAAACTAGTATGCACATAGAACATTTCTCATTAAAAACAGATAATTATATTTAAATATTAATAAATCAGAACAGAATTATGCTATGAGGTCAAATTTATCACAAAATGTTCTTTTTATGAAGTAGAATAAGTGATTCAAATTTAGGAACTCTACACTCAAAACTGAAAATTCCATGTCTAACAATGTATAAAGCAGCAAATCAAGAAAATTCTACTAGAGACCCACCTTAAAAGAAATTATCGATCAAAAAATCACAAAAATTCTATCCTAACTGGTAAAACATTTCTGTTATTGATATATACACAGACACATACACAAGCACACACACACACACACACACACACACAAACACACACACACACACACACATAAACTCCGCCTCCGCCGGTCTCAAGCCCGGGGCCCCGCTACTCAAGAAGCGGGGAAGGAGGAGGAGGAGAAGTAACAACCTCGTTAAAAAACCAAGGTTCATCTGGCCTGGATGATAGTACCTTATTAACGGGTCCCCGTCCAGAGTAACGGACTCCCTAAGCTGAATGTGTGAAGCGATTTTTACCGATGTAGCCTGGTTGGCTTTCGGGGGTTACAGAGAGTCACAAACGAAGCTTTGTGAGCACCTAGAGAAATTCCCTTGTACTTAGCCTTACTCCGGCAACCGGGGCTCTGCCGGAGTGGACCGGTAGTTCCCTAGGTGCTCGTGGGAATAAAAATGAGTTGTAACAATCAAAACAGAAATAAAAACAGTCATGAGAAAAGTGAGAGGATCAAAGCCAAAGAAGATAAGAGAGCTTCGAAAGCCTAAGATCAAAATATAAGACGATGCTGGCGTACATGCTCGATAAAAAGAACATACACGCAGAGCTAAAAACTATGGCCAGAAATTTGGATGAGATGTTTGACAGGCACAACAAGCAAATGTCCAATATCTACAAAGGGACCGAATGAAAACAGGAACAGCTGACGGTAAGAGATGATAAGATTCAAACATCGCCTATGTTTAGAGAAAAGGCGAAAAAGCGCGGAAATTTAGAGACGCAATCGCCGACGATCCTGGCAGCAACGAAAAAGATCAAAAGTGACCCAAAAATCCCAGACACAAGCGCAGTTGAAGTTTAGAAAGAGGCTGTTAAATCAAAAGCCTCCGAATGGAAAGAGGTGAAAAAGAAGGGTAAAGCCAAAAAAACGGAAGAGACCATCATGGAAGATAACAAGGCGAGAAGCAGAGCGGTGAAACACACCAAGACCTCGAACAGAAAACCTCGCCTAGAAGCCATTAAAATCAAGGCATTAGGCGCGACGTCGTATGCCGATATCTTGAGGTCAAGGCAGCACCCAACATGAAAGAGATAGGGAAAGAGTTACCCGAATACGACACACTAGAGCCGGAGAACGACTCCTCAAACTGGGGTAACCAGGAACCGGGCCCTTAAACATTGAAAAAGTGGTTCTGGCCACCCTTGAGAAGTCAGCAGAGTTTCACATGCTGACCGAAAAGGAAATTCTCACGATCAGAGATATGGATGAGACCATCACACCTGAGGAATTGTGGAAGAATGAATATCTGGAATTATTGCACCGGAGATAACTGCAAGTAGCAGCATCAAGATCAGAAGGCTTTACAACGACATCCATGTAGCGCACATTCAGCTTCCGGTAGCAGCTGCCAAAAAGCTACTGGAAAATGGAAAGATACGAATAGGCTGGGTAAATTGTAGAGTCCAACCCTATGCACCGACATAGAGATGCTACCGGTGCTTCGAGAATGGTCATGTCGCAAAGGACTGCACAAGCGACATCGACCGCTCAAGGTAGTGCTTTGGGTGTGGGCAGGAAAGGCATACGGCAGTAGATCAGCAAGGATGATCGACCCAACCCGAAATTTTACTAGGATAGAAGTGGTTGGCATGCGCATATATAGCTGTTATCTCCCACCAAGCGAAAAGATGAATGAGTTCAAAAGGTCCCTGGATGACATTGCTACCAGCGTGAGGGCATCCCGTCTACCAGTGACCATCGACAGAGACTTTAATTCTTGGGCAGTGGATTGGAAAAGTGCGAGAATAAATGGTCGTGGATACGCACTCCTCGAAACCTTTGGAACATTGGAGCTTGAACTGGCTAACACAGGAACGACCCCGACCTTTTCTAAGGTCAAAAAGTCGTCCATAGTGGACCTTACTTTCCTGAACGCCAGATTGATAACAGAAAGTCTCAACTGGAAAGTTAACGACCGGTACACGGGCAGTGATCATCAAGCCGTGACATACGTGCTCCGGCTGACCAACAAAGCGACAACCACGAGACCAACAAAGAACAAGCGGAGATGGGCACCAAATAGCTTCGACAGGGAGTCGTTTCTCTAATCCCTGGATGGGACATCAATAACAGGAACCGCTGAAGAAAAGGCGCGAGCCCTCACACGGGCCCTAAAAGCTGCATGCGATGCATCTATGGCCATAATGAACAACCCAAAATGCCGTATGCCTTTATATTGGTAGAATGAAGATATCGCCAGCCTGAGACGAGAATGTCTCACAGCAAGAAGACGCCACCAAAGATCACAGAAAAAGCCCAACTTCCATGCTTAAACTAAGAAATATGAGGAACTGCGATCATTGCTCAAAGCCGCCATCAAAGCCGCCAAGAGACAGTGCTGGCGAGAATTTTACAAGGAAGTAGATAATAACCCCTGGGGCCGGCCATATAAAATGGTCATGCA